GAAAGGTTTTTGTTCCCAGCTGGTGGAAAACAATGTAAGTGTCCTTCTGTCTTTCACTGGGAAAGCTAGCGCAGAAGGGATCGTTTCCAACGGTCGATGCACCAATTTGGTGGATTACCAAAGGAAGACTGTACTAAGGACGTGCAACAAGGATTTATTACTACGTTTAGCACAAGTATCGACCACAATAATACATTCACGGGGTTTATATACACAATATGTGGGCGGTCCTCAGATATCGTACCGTCGCTGGACCGTAGGGGGCCAGCGGTGGTACTCAAGTTTGGGGAATGAAAGAGCGGACCGCGCCGACGGCAGAACCTACTTGATTGCACACTTATGATACCGCCGGGTCATGCCTGCGGTATCATCTCAAGAGATACTCATATCAAGTTATGCCTATGGTTAATAAGTTGAACTAGCATGTTATCAATCATTTGTATGAATCCTAGTTCTATTAGGAGTTATAGGTTGTGTATCCACAACATCCAGAATCTAGAAACTTGTGCTGGATTGAAGGCTAGTTCTTTATTGTCACTATATGGATGATTACCTAATTATATGTCACAGGCAAGGGGAAATTAACATGTGTTCTAATGTACACACGCTACACGTTCAGTCTGGTACCGCAAGCCTAGTAACAAAACACTCTGGAGCACTACCGCTCTGCACACCCTACAACAGCGAAGCGGATAGCGGAGATATGCTCAAGACTGCCAGCACGACTTCTTTTAATAGCACTTTGAAAAAGGAATCGCTTAATACGACTCGAGCATTGCGATATGAATGGATATTCTGTGCCGCGATCAACACTTAGCGGTGTTTCGCGCAATGTGAAATCTCCAAAAGGATCCTCTAATAAGGTACCCTTCCGCTTGCGTTCGTTTCAAATGGAGTGAACAGGGCTCTTCGACCGAATCTCCATAAATGTGCTTCGTAAAAGGATGTCAAGCGTGTAGAGACACCTTCAGCAATTTGAAATGTGTTCTAGTTTGCGACTAACTCTACGATTACCTGTAGACACTCCTGATTGCGTGGTTTGTCCGCATCTCACTATTCAGTGTGTCGCCTAGCCTGCAATAGCGGAAGCAGCCGTCCTTTGCGTGGGCGGAATGGGCCGAAAGGCGAAGGCTGTGAGCTTGCTGTCTCCACTACCGAGGGCTAGCGCAAATTAGCGTTGGTATGGAAACTTCTTTCATCGGAGACAGAAAACATAAATGGCTCCCTAATTTTTTTCCCAAAGCTCGTCATCTACCGCTGGCTGACCGTTTTGAAGCGAACCTCTTCGTAGGCCATCGGAGACTGACAATGTCGCGAATGTATTAAGCACCTCGTATTCAAATTTGTGAGTTGAGATGTCGTCTTTTGCTCTCCGACGCCAATTCAGACAATCCGATAGATCAATTTCGAGACTCCCTGTGGACGTGAGGGTACCTGAAATTAACCGCTCTTTCGCTTTCTTTACACACCGCAGTTACGTCAAACTGGTAAAAGAGACCTGTCAACAGAACATTTTACAAGAGCTGTTCTCACTCATAGACTCTGGGTGAATTAGTTTTCAAAACAACCGATGCTGACGTTTCATTGTTTGCAGGTCTCTTAAGAAACTCGATAAGTCAAACGCTACCACGTGTGCAACAGAAAGCTGTGATGACCGCATGCAGGGTAGAAAACAATGCAAAATAAGGAATATAGTGTGAAGAGGTACGGGATTATGCTATAGAGAAGTTTCTACCTATGGGTTGGGAGGAGAGGAGGGGAAGGGGGGGGGCGCAGCGTAAAAAATGTTCCAATCTAGTCGTGTATTCACGCTCATATCGCGAATGGGACCAACTCGAATATTATTGTTAACATTCAAATATTCATATGACTACAGGGGTGGCCAAAAAAGACGCTTACACTCCACATTTCAGACAGCATTAATCACACTTTGCTAAGCTCAACTGCTCCCAGTTTATTGGAGAGCACATCCCATTTTACCAATATTGTTACAATAGCTTCTGCACCAAGGACATCACAAGAATTTCTCCATGGGAACCTTGTGCACGGTTCGAGCTCAATTAGAATTCGACAGATCATGGACCATTACGACGTTATCTGAAACGCTGGTCGGAAGGGGTCTTGCACTTTAGAGCTACTGTCTCTAGGAAGCAATTTGCCAGTAACCGATTGAAGAAATTATGTAGCAGCTTCAGGCTGGAGCGATTACGGTAGGCCTTCTTGAGCTCGACGGTGATGGAAGATGACGTCATATTTTGAGGACAGTGAGGGCCGGCACATCTAAGCGAACTTCTGCCGTAAAACTTCCATCAACAGCGGCACCTGTGCGAAGAAAAGTTTGATGATGTGCGCCATATTCAAAGTGTTTCTTTTTTTGGCCATCCCTGTATATGTAGCTACACACTGTAGGTAGTAGACGTTCCTCTGCATTTCCTTAGCTTCAACCTCAGTATCGCATTCATAATATCAATTACTTGTACAAAGAGCTTATTACAGTTGTATGCATGTGTGCATGTTTAATATCTAGATCTCGAAAGGAGGAAAACTGTTGTGAATATAGTCGAATACTCCTCCTTGGATTTAATTTGGTGACGGCGAGTGAAGAATTTTTTAAGGAATCAAGAGTGAAAGACGATCGAAGCGGACCTTCAGAGGCTCTGGTCCCTGAAACTTCATCGTACATTCATGACGTGAGAGCGGGTAAAACGAGCATGGAATAAAAGTCGTAAAGTCGTCGTCGCATTCTTCTCACTCTTCCTCCTTTCGACAGCATTGAAATTTTCGAGAGCTGGAGGGTCGAACAAAATATGTTGAAATAGGGCGAGATATAAGGAACAGGAGGGACGTGATATTGGTAGAAAGGGAGTCATGCTCGAAAAATTTCTTCTTCATTTTGCGTGACATCTTGAAAAGAACGCTCGATATGGAATAACAAATCGTTGAACGACGGATTCAAAATAAAGAACTACCCGAAATACCGTTCATCACCTTTACGTGAGTTCATGTTCCAAGTGAAAAGCGTAGGACTCACCTGAAGGATGAAGCTACTAGTTTCTTGTTTTTTTAGTTCCAACTTATTTTTGTATTGCAAATTGTTCCCAGATCGATTACGATTAGTTCTCTTCCTCTTATGGTCAGTACTGTGACTTTCTTCGGACTGTATGCCGACCACGATCGGTATATTCCATTGTTGTTAGTTATATAATATTCCTCACCTGGAGTATCTCCCCTCCCATCGTGTTTTCACCGATAAATCCCATGCCATGTTCCTTCCTAAAAAAGTCGATACAGGTGAAGGTATTGTCTTTTAACATTTGGCGAATGTGTGAGTGGCGCTTGCTTGCGAATGACCCGTAGATAAGGTGGTGACGATAGTGCCCCACCCAGCGAGTTTTCCTTTTGCAGCTGCGCTATCATGCTCGCAATTTCCAGTTAACTCTGTTGTAAAAGAAGCTTTTCTGCTTTGATACTCTTTTTTAGAATGCTGCTCTTGTCGTTGCTGCTCTACACTGAATTTTCTCTTGCATTTGAAGGGAAGAGCTTGTCGGAAAATGTCGTGGGCTATCTAGGTATTCCTTATGCCAAAGCGCCTGTGAGAGAAAGGAGATTCAAGGTGAGTTCCGGACGTGAACTGGAGCACTTTGAATCCAAGTTTCATTCTCTTTACCATTGATTGTCGTCACTGCTTTATAGTAGACAAAAGACTACTAGTGTATCTACAGCATGATTCTCCAGCTCCAAATGAACCCATCCTAAAGGCTACAGGCCCGACCGAACTAAAGCTTATCGAATTTGAGGACTGTTGGACATTGGTCATTAGTCTGTGGGAGGAACTCTAACCTAAGGTTTCATTTGCCACTAGAATCATACACTGCTTCAGTTATTGTAAAAAAAAGGGTTGGGGTAGCACAAGAATGTCCGATTTGTTCAAGGCAAAAAACATCTAATGAATGCGTACAAGTTTAGCAGGGAACCGTCTTTCAAACTCTTTCTCTGTAGCTCAGCAAGTACTGGACTGGCGATCAGAAATATGCATTATCTCTTCTGCCACTCCTACAGCGACCTCGGATAAGTTACTCGACTTTATACTATGTTAAGGACGGGAGGTGCGGCTTGTCATCGAGAGCCTCACCATCAGTTTTTTTTTCTGTACAGAAAACGCCGGAAATCAGAGAAGAGACAGAATCAGAGAGGGTTTGTGTTGTGGGCTTAATGAATTAACATATGGCCGTAATTCTGGCACTCACAATCAGTCTGAGTCGCTTTGTCGTATGAGGTTAGGAGTTGTTGGCCACTGCGGGTTCACCGCTATCGAGGCTGGCTGGTTATCAGTCAAGCCTCGATAGCGGGAGCCTCGCCTAGCCTTACTATGAATCCTGATTCCTGGGTAGAGGAATCGAGACTGATGTTCACTACAAGAGTAATCGACAACTATAATAGAATACTTCAAAGGCGCCAACCGGCAATTAGACTCTAGACTTATCCGTTCGGTGGGTAGTGTAGAGCTGCTTGCAAGCATTACCGATAGATATATCATTCACACGGATCGAAAGTAGCAGGAAAGTCGCTATGGCCTTGCAAGTGCTCCCCATAAAAGCTTGAGTGGCTCCTTCCGCTCCCTGTAAGGCAGCCGTGTATCTGCGCCTTCTCGTACATACGTTGTGCTCTTTCGCTTTCTCGCTTCTCTGCATGCTGTATTCTCTGCCGGCCTTACGAGAGTCCAATCCCGTAATTTAGGTGTTTTTGATGATTCTTTGGCTCTCCTTTTTGCCTCAGTCTTCTCCGTACGTCTGCCTTGAAGACTTAACTCCCTCCTTCTATAAACCCATGCGGACCGCCGTTATGTGTGCACCTCCATAGGTTTTTGTCACCTTTTTTGTCAGTAACCAATAATCCAGCAGTAATTTTACCAGTATTTCAATAGAAGATATTTTTCGTGCTCGAAAAAGCTTACTGATGAAATTGTTACATTTAAAAATGGTCAATCAAATCAGAGATAATCTCCATTTTCGTGCAGCACGCGGTCCGTAATGGGATAAGAGAGAAAGAGGCGTTATACTGCCGAGCGTTAGTGTTGAGGGTTTGATGGGGATGGTACACACCTCGACTCTCGTTGCTGATTCGGCTTCATTTTTTTTTGCAATTTTCGTCTACATTTTCCTTTAGCGCACCTTGTAGTGGATATAGCCATCTGTGAGTGTTGGATGACAAACGCGTCTCTACGATTTCCGATGGTTGGAAGCGACTTTCAGTTTCAGCTTGGGTTCGTTATGATCTTCCCTCTAGTAATAAAAAATGGAAGATTTCAGACAGTAGCTCCGTAGCTGTGCATCTTCCCCTCAAACTCCGCCCACAAAAAACTAGCGAAAACGGACGAAATTTGTCCGTACTTCAACACAGGGAGAAACACATAGACATAGGAACGAAACACATCAACTCACACCTATGAGAGTATACGCAGACTCCACCCATACTCCACTAACCTCACCTATCTCTACCTGACAACACCATTTTCTTCAGGAATCGGAATCAGTGGAATTTGATGAGAAACGTTCGTATTTGGAATGGCCTCTGGGTTGTCCAGAGGTCGGCCTTCATGGGAAGAAGCGAGGACTGCCTTTTTCTCAATGTTCTTCAACATAGAGGCACATCTAAGAAGGTATTTAGTTTTATTCTGTGAAGAATGACGTATTATAAGAGCGCAAACAATATGTAGGAGGAGCCTGAGAAGCCAAATAGTCGTTTTCCGGAATGCAGTTTTTGGTTTCCTCTAGAGTTTTGAGGTTCCACTTGGGCTAGGAGCATATCGCACAGCATCAGCTGATCTTACAGGGGGGGGTCTTTCAGGGCAAGCCGCGCTTTTTGGAAACGGTTTCTTGCATATTGTAGGGACGCATGTATGGACCACAAAACCATGTTTCGTTTTCGCTGAACGGTTTTAGTAGTACCAAAAAAGTGGTGAATGATACCCTTGATGGTTCGATCCCCCGCGGCGACTAAATTTTGCAATCAAGGTTGGCGGCCACTTGTTGGCTTCAAAATGGTCCTGACGATGAATATGACATCTGATTTTGACATTTAGCGCGATTTGGCACCAACCGTAGGCGCCAACCCAAATGCAAAATTTAGTCGCCACGGGGGATCGAACCATTAACAGTACCTTATGCTTCTTTTTTGGTACTGCTAAAACCGTTCAGCGAAAATGAAACATGGTTTTGTGTTCCCTACATGCATCCCTACAATATGCAAGAAACCGTTTTTGAAAGAAGCGTGGCTTGTCCTGAGAGACCCCTTGTTAGTCTCTCGTACACAACCTTGCCAATTACATATTTTTAATTCTCATAGTAAAAATAATACGTACTGAATAATTTATGATCACGACCAAATTATTTTACCCACTGTATCAACGAAACACTCGCAGTACTTTCATGGGTAATTGTAAGAGAAGACTGTGTGCATCCATCACTAACAGCTTTAGACGCCATTGCTCAGGGAAATTTGTGAACTCTGAGCCTTTTTGGACCAGTACCAGCGATATCTCAGCTATCATGTTTTTCATATGTGCTTACCGTAATCTGTCGATAACTATTCAGGGTCGATACATCTTCCTCAATTTTTCTCGAATGAAAGAGCTAAGCGAGCAAATTGTTAGGATTGGTTTATCATTACGATTGAACGTTGTGACTGCTGGTGTGAGATGCGGAATACTGGGTGAGCGTAGGTTTCTCATCAAGGAAAATCACATTCGTTGATTATTAAAACAAGCAAAGCACTATTTACCCTTCACTGCCTCACTCTTCAAAAACTGGCCGGATTTTTTATCAAATTTTTTCAAATGACATGAAATTGGCTAGAAAGATTGTTCTCCGGTTGCTGTTTCTACTCGTAGAACACCGAATTATCACATTTTCGTTTAGCGCGAGATTACCTGGCGCCTGTGTCATAAGTCACCTCGGATCACCACCTTCACTAGAAACTTCCGTCAATAGTAATTTCGGCCGCTGAACATGAATATCGCAATGGTTGGTTGCGAGTGAGCTTGTGCTCTACGCCGCTGGTGGAGGCGCCTGTGGGTGGGCCGGTACGTTTTGTTGTTTTTAGTTAAGTGACTGGAGAATTATTGAGTTTATACGCTGATTTATTAAGAATGTGCTTTGCATTTGCTAGCAAGGGATGATCTACATAAATATTACTTGAAGCAGGGAATTGAGGCAAGGTCCGAACCGCTCAGCACCTCTCTGAAGAATCCTCCCGTGTGTGAAGAGTAGGACCAAACAGATGTCAATGCGTGATGGCGAGGGGCATGATCTCCTGGGACTATCACGCGCACTATACGAAAAAAGCGAAGCGATGAGGAACTGAATTATCCCACGTCCAAAGGGATCAGTGACTACCCACCGTTCGTGGCATTTTGATCTGCTACGCTTTCACCGCTCGGAGTTCTTTTCACTCTACGCGTCTCATATTATCTCTTATCTCGCTGACTGCCTCATAAACTTCTTCGCATTGTAGAGCAGGCGGCTCACTACTTTCTATGTTTATGACGGTTCCCTTTCATTTCCTCTCCACGCGTAGTCCACTTCCCGTACCTGCTTTCATATTCGAGTTGAATCACCACGTCATTGAGATGAACCTGGGTCTTGCCTTCAAAGGCAGAGTTTACGATGAAAAGACAGTCATTAGGAATCCAGATGGCCAGTAGAGGTGGTCAGTGATACAGGGATGAAGAAAAAACCAAGAAAAACGCCTAGAACCCGAGAACGTGGATCCCCTCTCTGCTCCTTGGCTCGCGTGTGGGGCGGATCTCATCGCTGCTGCACTCTTCAACGCTAACGCTCTCTCTCTGCAAGAGCGGCCGGAGTCGGAGTCAGACGGTGGAAGTACACTTGTGCGAGTGACGCTGGTACGAACCAGTAAGACCGCTGTGCGCATACCCTTCGCTGAAAACGCGCATCATTCCGCATCTCTGTGTAGCCGCCTGCCTTTATTCTAAGTTTATTTCCACTTCCTCGACCACATGGTCTTGGATCTCGGAATTCTCCTTTAAAGGCAGCGATTACGATAAAGAGGGAGCGCATCGGGGAAGCATATGCACCACACGAATCAGTTACTTGGCTGCCAGGGAAGCGAGGTGTGGCGCTTTCACGACGAAAGGTGCGCTGGTTGCTGAGCAGGACTTCGAAAGCGCTCCGCCCCAAAAGCGATCCGCCCACTAGTTTAGTTGGTGATTTGGACGAGCTGCGTTGCCAGCAGCGGCACAACTGGAGCACTCGATTGGAGCGTGGTTTGGCATGGTGCCACCAAACGCGTTGCGTGAACTCGTTCATACATCTGAGCTGTTACCTGTTCATGAGTGAAAACAACGGCCAAAAAGGGGTCCCGTTCACAGAATCCTTCGTTTTTTTTTCGCCACGGGCGCTGGGCATCAGCAGGTCTCTTCTGAACCCTTCTTGAACTATCGTAATCGCTCCTTTAACCCTTAGACTACGACTTTTTTAGAAACAAGTTATCGATGTGTTTTGTGTAGTAACAGTCGCTCCTAGCAACAACTAATCATCTGTAGAAATTTGGCTGATGCGCGCTGGGTTTGAGCTGGGATTCGATCCAGAGACCATATGCGCGGCAGTGGCCCCTCCTGTCACCATTGTTGAACAGTTCAAATCGATTCGA